CCCGGGAGAGGCCCCGCCGGCTGGGCTTCGCCGTCGGCCCCCGCCCAGCCGCGTTGCCCGCTCGGAGCTTCTTCGTTTATGAGCCGGGGGAGTTTCTTTATCCGTGGCGGTTGTGTTTTATATTCCCGTCGGTGGGAATCCCACGGGCAAAACCGTCGTCGGCATTCCGTGAGTGATGACCTCACACCGGGCACACGCCCCCCACCCCCGGCTCGCGAGTGCAAAGACAAAGATCCCCCGTGTAGGCACGCAGGCTGTTGGGCCAAGTGCTGTAGTACCGTGAGCACATTACGACTAATACAAATGTCCCCCATGTAGCCTTAACAGACGGAACGGTACACGAGACGGGGTGGCTGGCCAAACACCACCCCGGGGCCGCCTTTGTCTCCTGAGTGGCGATGTTTACACATCGCTGCAGTTATCTCATTTGAGGCTGAGATGACCTTGGGGAGGTCCCAAGACCGGTTCAGGTAATCGTCGTCACCGTGTTGGCGGTTAGCGGGAATCGAAACTCGTGTCGCTGGGTTTGTAGCGCAGCGCGCTAACCACCGCTCGCTCCTCGCGCGCATGCAAACACGCCTTTTAAACACGAACACACCGTCACTAAAATCGGGAAAGAAAATCTGCATAAAAGAGAAAAAAAAACCCCCAGTGGACAAAACTGTGCATCCTAAAAGAGAACCGCTCCCAAGTTGACGGGCGACCGATTTTTTTTTATTCGTAACGAGGCTCCCCACACCCCCACCACCACCCCCTTGGCGGCGATGATGACGGCGTGGGACGGGCAACGTTGGAGCAGCGTCGCGGAGTGCGGGTCGGGGTAGGCGGCGTAGCGGTTCGCGGCACTCCGGCCACGAACCCAGCGACCCGAAGGTCGATTCCTCGCTCGAACCCCAACATCCGTGATCGATCACATGAAACCGGCCCTGGGCCTCCCTTAGGTTGGCTCGGCCTTCATCGAGTCCCTGGTGTGATGTGTAGGACGTCGGAATTGTGGAGGCAGAGGGTGTCCGGGCGCGGTGTAACAGTTCCTAGCGGTGAGCGCGCACTGCCTCCGTGTGTGCTCTTGAGCCAACGTCGGCGGCCTCTGAGTTTTACTCGCGAGTGGCTCTCTCCAAGACCCGACCTAAAAAACCCCCCACCGCACGCACGGCCGGGAATTGATGCTGCTGGTGCTGACGCCGGCGTTGCTGATGCTGCTGATGATGATGGTGGTGGTGGTGTTGCTGGCGGTGGTGGTGCTGATACCTCCACTGTCACCACACGGCAAGAGAGAAGCGCCGTGGCGTCGTGCCAGTTGCCGAGTCGCACATTGCCGAGGAAATTGCCTCCCAATTCCGAGCGACGCGGCGGGGATGACACCCGCTCGCTAGCACCTGAGCCCATGGTGGAATGCCCATAGGATGGCAAACAAAGAGGGGGGAAGCCTTTTAGGTGTCGTGTCGCGGTGAGGTTGTGGAGTGGGGGTGGCAGGAGACGTTTGCGTGAGAGCGTGGTACCTTTAATGTGTGCAGGCAGTGCAACTGCACCGGGTCCCATAGGCCGAAGGGTCTCTTGCACCGGACTTCGGGGGGGGGGGGGGGGGGGTGGAGTGGTGGGGAGCACGTGGGGCATTTAATTCCTTGCACCGGGGTCCATACACCCCACCCTTGGCCACTGAGGAGTGTGAGCGAGCGTGAGGGGCTCAGTGTTTGTGTTCTAACTCATCACCCATGGATTGTGGGCAGCACGTGTGGTGCACAGGGGAGAGAGTTAGGAGAGAGCGCTAGGGGAGAGAGTTAGGAGAGAGAGCGCTTGGAGAGCAAGAAAGCTCGCGCTCACGGCATCACGCGGGGGCAACGCGGCTCCCGGTGGGAACCGGCGCCGCATCGAGACGAGAAAAAATGTTCGGAATTCGCCCTTCTGTGCCTCGGCCGCCAGCGGAGGGCCCCCTGCGTGCGTCGCGACCGATCCTGTGGAGCGTGAGACCCCCCAGTGGGGGGCTGCCAAGAGTGTAGGGGGCTGCCAGGGGTGTGGGGGGGGCCCTCTGCCCTCTGCCCTCGAATGGGATTGGTCCCCTGCGTGCGGTCTCCTTGCGTGGCATCTGCACTGCTGGGCTAATGACACGGCCCAGGTCTCCCTGGAAAATCGATACGGTGAGCTTCGCCGTGCCGCGTCACCCCACTCAACTTTGTACTGCACGACCTGCGCAGCAGGAGGAACACCCGGGAGTGTTGCTGTGGAGCGTTGTTGTGGAGCGTTGTTGGAGCATTGTAGTGCGGGAAGCTCCGCCGCTCGCAGCGGTGGGGGGTGGGCGGCGACGTCGGTGGACTCCTCCCGGTATCGCGATGTCCCGGAAAGGGGGAGCGTGCGTTACCGACTCCCCCTTGGCTGGCGGTGTTGGCGCTGCTCCATTGCTCCGTTGCCTGCCCCCCGGGCCGCCAGTCAGAGCCACGCCCCTCCCCGTCCCACCCACCCGTCGCTCACGGCGGAGGCCCTCGGCGGCCCTCGGTAGCGCGGGGCCCTTCGAAGGCAGGGATGGGGTCGCGCGGGCAGAAGGGGCAACCGGCGGGAACCAGGCCGGCACCCAGGGGCAGCGCTCTGTTGCTCCACCGAGGGTCATGAACTCTTCCCCAAACCTCCCGGTGGACTGCCCGGTGCCTGGTGTTTAACCGGTTCGATAAAGGCTCTGGGGGGCGGGGGGGTCAAGGCCTGGGTCCAGCCGCTGGAGGATAATGGAGGTCAGAGACGGTGCCTCCTTCGCCGCCGTCGCCACGGAGCCGCGATGGGGATGAAGGGTTGGTCCCGTGTGGCGCAGCCGCGAGAAGCCATTAGGAGAGAGATATTGACAGGGGAATCGCTCAGATGCACGTCCCCCCCTCCCTGACCTCCCCCATGCGTGCGTCCTCACGCGAGTGTGCGCGTGTGGGAAGGGTACGTCTTGTCTGTACGCTGGATGCAAAGACAAAGGTTATCCCCTGTATTGCCTGCATATCGTTTCGGAGCAAATGCTGTCAGTGAGCAACTGTTAAGACCAGCACGGCCAGCACCACGCCCGGCCGTGCCAAGTAATTATTTGAAGCTGAGTCGACCTAGCGGAGGCCCACGGCCGGTTCAAATATTCATCACCTGATGTTGTACGTGATCGGAAATTGAACTCAGGTCGCCGGGTTCGTAGCGTAGTTTAGCGGTGAGCACACAGTGGATATAGACAAGACAAAGACATACGTGCACACACGTGCACGCATAGATGAGGCTAAGCGCAGCACATACAGAATTTAGTCACAACACAGGCATTCAATACACACGCAAGCGCACACACATCCCATAATCACACACTCAACGCACTCACGTGATACACGCGCGCACTCAACACATGCACAACATGCGCATGTTACTCAAGCACTTTGTGTAACCCGTCACGCACACACACACACCGCACACAGGAATGCACACGCATGCTCTTACACGCACACGTGCGGACACGCCACGCACATAAACACGCACGCACATCAACGCGCACGCATGTGCACAGCACACACACGCATGTGCACAGCACACACACGCATGTGCACAGCACACACACGCATGTGCACAGCACACACACGCGTGCACGTGCACGTACACGCGCACACACACGCGCACATACACGCTATTAAAAGCGCAGAGACATGGATTTTTTTCTTTTGCTGGCGGAATGAAACAGATGCTCTCGCGCCGAATGTTTCGGCAGACGTTCCTCTTGCGTTTAAGGATCCCTGCGGGATCCGCTCGTGAAATATTAACGATCGTAAATGCTCGGCGGGCAAGGTGCAGGTGAATTGGGCTTTGTACAGCGCGCAGCATGGGGGGGGGGATCGTTCCGCGCGTGCGTGCGTGCGTCTCTGTGTGTGCGCGTCTTTGTCTTTGTATGCGTGTCTCAGACCATGTGCGCACGTGTGTCGGGCGTGGTCCTGGCCACCCACCTCCTCGTGTGCAGTGCCGGCCGTCATAGGTTCTCGCAAACGGCATTTGCCCCAGCAGTCGGTTAAAGCTATATGGAGAATCTTCGTCTTTTGTGTGTGTCAGTCTGTGTGCTCGTGAGTGTCTTTGGGGAGGGTGTAGTGTAGCGGTTCGCGCGCTGCGCTATGAACCCGGCGACCCGAGTTCGCTTCACACTCACGGCCAAAACCAGTGACGATTATCTGAACCGGTCCTGGGCCTCCCCCTAGGCTGACTCGGCCTTAAATTAGTAGCTGGTGCGGTGTGTAAACATCGCCACTGGGGAGACAAAGGCGACCGGGCGTGGTGCTGGCCATACCACCCCCATCCTCGTGTGCCATAGTGCCGGCCTTCATAGGTACTACTACTGGCTAAAAAGCACTTGCCCCAACACTCTGTTAAGGCTATACTTGGGGATCTTTGCCTTTGTGCTCTACACTGCCACGTCTAGCAGGGAAGCCGTCGCACCACGAAGCGGCCCCTCTCCTTCCCCGGAGCCACGGGTGGCGAGAGAGGAGCCGGCGCCGCGCCCCTCCCCCCCCCGCGCTACCGACTTGAGTCTGACTGAGCGTGTGCGGGGGTTAATGTCAGCCGCACCTGGCACACCGCGTCCAGCAGCATTACACCTGGACGTGTAATGAGGAAGACGGAGAAGACTGACTACAATTTCTTTGACTTGGGAAGGTTATAGCTGCAACCGGAAGCCAGGGAAGAGAGCCAATGAAGTTGTGTACTGTATCAGCAATTTGAACAATTCGATGCAACTGGGAATCAATATGATGGACAGAGCTGGTTGAGAAAGGACACGGTTCACAGAGAGAGAGAGAGAGGGAGAACTTGCGTGACGTGTGCGGAACGTGCACCTTAGGGGTCGTGTGCATTGTGACGTGTGCATTGTGACGTGTGCATTGTGACGTGTGCATTGTGACGTGTGCATTGTGACGTGTGCATTGTGACGTGTGCATTGTGACGTGTGCATTGTGACGTGTGCATTGTGACGTGTGCATTGTGACGCCCGTGCATCTCTTCCATCACTGCAGCTGCAGGAGCAGCTGAAGCGGCGCCTGGAGGAGAGCGACTACGGCGACCGCGCCAACGGCTCCTCCTACGACTGCGCCCCGCCGGGCCCCAAGCGCTCGCGCGGTGACGGCGGCGGCGGCGGCGGCCCGCACGGGGCCCACGCGGGGGCCCCGCTGTCCGCCCCCCTCCGGCACCCGCTGCCGCCCCACCCCCAGCACGCCCGGCAGCACTGCGCGCCGCTCCCGGCGCCGTCGCACGGCCGCTACGGCGGCGGCGGCGGCGGCGTCCAGCACTGCGGCACGGCGGTGTCGGTGACCCACTGCGTCACGGGCGACCGCTCGCGCAAAACCATCCACACCACCGTCACCGTGCTGCAGGACGGCGGCGCCGGCACGGCGCTCAAGGTGGAGCCGCGGGACGGAGCGTTCTGCTCCGTCGACGACGACCTTAAGCGCGGCGGCGCGCCCGGCTGCGGCGTCTCCTCGGAGGTCGACCAGGAGCTGGAGTTCATCCTCGAGGAGCTGGAGCGGGAGCTGGCCAAGGGCGACACAAAGGAGGCCTTCGATTTTGGGCGACCGGCGCTCAACGGGGACGACGAGCGGCCGGCGGCCGTGGAGGAGGAGGAGCATAAACACTTCCTCAAGCTGGAGCACGGCGCCGCCCGGCGCTGCGAAGACAAAGCGGCGGCGGCGGCGGCGGCGCTCGGCACGCTGGTGGTGAAGCGCGAGATGTCGCCGAGCTGCCACGGCTCCGCCGGCGCCGGGTCGCCCCTCCACGCGCAGGGCCGCACAGCACCGTCTCCCGTCGTGGCCTCGCCGCCCTCGCAGCAGCAGCCCGTGCAGGCGGCGCGCTTCCCCCCGCAGACGGCGCCGCCCGCGCACCACCACGCGCACCACAACCACATTCAGCAGCAGCAGCAGCATCAGCAGTTGGGCATGAACATGTCGTTTGCGTCCCGTCTACAGGCACCCATGAACTACCAGGGCGTGCCTCCGTTTCAGCAGCAGGCAGTAGCAAGGCATGTGCAGCAGCAGCAGCAGCACCAGCAGCAGCAGCAGGGAGTTAAGGGACAGCTGCCGGTACAAGGTGGCCCGTCGTGCGGGTGGCCGCCGTCAGCGCCGGCTCGGGGAGGCCCTCGCTCCTCGCCGGCCTACGACGCCGATCGGCCCAAGGTGAGCGCCAGCGGCCACGCGATGGCGCCGTCGCGGCCCGGCCCCACGGGCCACGTGGCGCAGCCGGGACGAGCGAGCCCCTCGCCCGCCGGCCACGCGGCGCAGCCCAACCGCACGCCGCCCGGCGCCGCGAGTCAGGCCAACCACAACCACCACCGGCACCACCACCAGCACCCGCAGCAGCACGCGCAGCACCAGCAGCAGCAGCAGCAGCACCACCTGCCGGTCGCACTCCCCGGCCAGATGCCCGCGCCTCGCGGGGCCGAGGGCGTGGTGTCGCCGGGCTGCGGGCACCCGCCGGGGCCGCCGGTACCGGTCAACGCGGCCGCCGGCGCCGGCGCCGCCACGCCCCCCTCGCAGGGCGGCCACGCCGCTCCGCTGGGGCACAAGGGCGGCAGCGCCGCCGCAATCACGCGGCCCCACGAGGCCTGCCCCAACGTGACGGCCGGCGCCCTGTCCTACGGCGACACCAAGCCGCTCACGCACTTTGACCCCGACGGAGAGGAGGCGCGAGGGGCGGCGGCGGCGGCGGCGGCCGCGGCGGCGGCGGCGGCGGGGGGTGGCCCCCCCCCTGCGATGCCGGGCGCCGTGGCGGCACCGGGGAGCGGAGGGTTCTACCCTCATGACGCCGGCGCCAGGCAGCCCGCGCGGGCGCGCACGGCGCCCGAGGTGCGCCGCTTGCTGCTGCGCCACGTGCTGGAGCAGGGGGGGCTGGGCGGGGGGGAGCTGGCGGCACGGATCGGCGCACAGTACCAGCCCGGAGCGCAGGTGAGGGCGCTGGCTCAAGCACGCGCACGCACACACGTGCACACGTGCTCGGTATTCATTGCGCAACAACAACAACGACAACAGCCGCCACCGTTTGCCTTCACTGGGCAGTGACGTCGCAGTGGCGATCGTGCCAAGCTAGGTGCACTTTGAGGCGGTGTAAAGCGTGCCAGGCTCGCTACTGGCAAGCGGGTCAGGGCACAGACCCCCGATGCTGTGGGTGTGACGGACGGAGATGACCAGTGCACTCGTGCTGCCCTCTCCGCGGCGCACGCACGCCAAACGCAACACGCGCACGCGAAGTGCGGACGCTTCATCGTCGTGCCGCGGGCTTCCACGGTGCCGGCACGGCCGGCTCCGTCCGTGCCGGCAGCCTGGAAAATATTTCCACGCGCGGCACACCCCATTCGTAATTACACCGCTCGCGATGGCCGTGCCTGCTACTGGTCACGTGCCACCTTCGGTGTTAAACGAAGCCTTGGGCCGCAAACGTGCCAAGGAGGTTCAGCGATAGGGCGGGTTGTCTTGCCGGCGCACCGCCATGATTTGGCGTCGCTGGCACCCACCTCGCTTGGCACTGCACCCACCCGGCGCTGGCGTCGCCCTCTCCTCCTCGTGCCGCTGGGGAGACACCACTGGTGCTGGCAATTTTATTATTTTATTATCCCCCTCCCCTCTTTTGGCCCTGACCATCGTCGTCATCGTCTCAATTCGCCCATATTTGGCGGCGGAGTGAAGTCGTGGCAGAACGTTACGTTACTCGAGAAGCATCTCCCCCTCTCCCTTTTTCCCCTCGGCCTCTCTCTCTCTCCCCATCTCTCACCAACTCTCTCCCTCCATCCTTCTCTCTCCTTTCCTCTCTCCCTCCCTCTCTCTCTCTCGCAACGGCCGTCTGAATCACGGCGCTTGTGTAACTCCCAGAGTGGCTCGCTTACTCACACGCATGCTCATGGTCCCCCTACCTACCCCCCCCCCATCTCTCTCCCCCTCTCCCTCCCTCCCTCTCCCTCCAATTCCCACTCTCTCCTTCAAGAATGTGCAGCCTCTTATCCCTTCGTTCTAATGCCATTCTGTATCTAATTATGCACGCGGTGTTGGGAAGATTTAGGTAGACCATGGAGGTGATGGGAAGGACACGTGGGCTAGTGGGAAGAGGGCTGGGCAAGCAACTTGCACGGTCTGAAGGTGGCAGGAGCTCCTTGTCAATGTCAAGAGGGCGAGGGGGTTTTGACGATGGGTGGGACGCGCGTGGTCTGCGGGATGGAGGAGGAGGGCAGGTGGGCATCGCAGTGGCATCCAGAGGTTGCCGACCCAAGGGCAGATGGCGGCGGCGGCGGCGGTGGTGATGATGAGACTGTAGTTGGCGACCTTGGAGGTCAAATGCCAACTCTGTTACGGCTGCGTGATTTAGCAGACGGAAGGAAGCGATGGTGAGGTGTGGAGGCATTGGATGGCCTTGGTCGCGATGACCTTCCGATTAATGGGCCCCTCGGTTTGTGGACTTGACCGCACCAGATTTAACCAAACCGAGGTTCAGTGTTGTTGAGAGCCCATAGCGGTCTCGTTGGTGTGGCACATTGTGTTGTGGCACGGCGTCACACAGCAGGGCCCGCCTCAACACGGGGAAATCTTTGCTCCCGAGCACAACCACAACCAGCACCACCGCCACTCGTCATGGTGCCGCTCGCTTGCCGTGGCCGTGACGGGCGCTGAAACAAGCATCGCCTGCAGCCGACTTTCCCACTCCCAATTCCACAACCATCGCCATCCCCCCGAGCCCCTCGGCACCGCACCGCCACTCCTGGCCGCCGCAGGGTCCCGGAGAGTGCGTCGCGAGCGCGGTCAAATTAGCGCGATTCCACGGGCACAGGAAAGTTCCGCGCGCAGCTCGGCCGGGAGGAAACGCAGGCGGGGGCGAGCCGCTCGTGCGAACGAGAAGTGGCGGTGCGCGGGTGCTAAAAATACCCACCAGCGGCGCCGCCGCCGCGGCTCGCGAGCGCGCGGGGCCTTGGAACAGGCGACTCATTCCGGAACGCGCAAACGCGTGGAACGTGGTGCGCTCTCTTTACAAGAAGGCACCCGGCGGAGCGAGCGAGCGGCTCCGGCGAGTTGGCCCCCCGACGTGGCCCTCACGAGCCGGGGCTCGTGAGGGCCACGTCGGGGTGCGCCGCCCACGGGGAGTCCTCTCGGTGTTCTCGCGCGACGCGGCTCCATCCTGGCCGCAGCTCCCGTGCGACCATGGAGGGTTCGGAGGGCCCTCGGCGAGGGCCGTGCATTGTACGGCGCAAAAGTCCGCCAATTCGCTTCGAGAGCTCGGTGGCCGAGTGAGTGGGGTCAGTAGGTGAAGGGGGGGCGGGGGGCGAGTGAGCGAGGTGAGCGGGGGTGGTTTGCGCAAGTTGGTGGAGTCGCATCTCGGGGCATGGCGCCGTCACGGGGCAGGGGGGAGTGGGGTATTCATAGGCACAGCTGAGCTCATCCTGAACGTCACCGCGGGGCCTCTCTCCTCCAGGGCAGCATCCGTCGCTGCCGATTGCACCTCAGATGTGCATCCGGACCCTATTTATACACGCGGGGTGCACGCGTGGTAGCGTGCGCTTGTCACTATATATACACTATATATATACACTATATATACACACACACACACACGTGCGTGTGGCGCAGCGGTTAGCGTCGCTGCGCTCCGAATGCCGGCGGCCCAGGTTCGACACCCGCTCGTGGCCGAAATCGGTGGCGCGAATATCTGCACCGATCACGGGTCCCGCCGGCCTAGGCCTACTCGCCCTTAAATGAATAACATCAGCACTGGGGGAGATAAAGGCGACCGGGCGATGTCTAGCCCACACCGCTGACAGCATTTTCCCTGGCAGCCTGTGTGGGCTACACGGGGGGGGGGGGAGAAGCTTTGTCTTTTTGCGTGCGCACGTCACCAACGCGCGCTGCCAAGTGAAACAACGACACCCCCCCCCCCCACACTTCCTCACGCACCCCCTCACACACCCTCCCCTATTCCTGACACCGCACACTGCCCACCCCCTCCCTAGTGCTGACACTCGACACACCCACACCCCCTATTCCTGACACTGTACTCCATTGCACTCTGACACTGAATTCACCCCCTCTTCCCCCCCCACCATCCACCCAGGCCCTTGCCCTTTGCCCCCTCATCTGCTCAGGGTCCCTTTTGGCAGCGTGCACAAGGGGGGGCCCACCCTATGTCCCGGGGGGCGGGGGGGGGGTCTCCCCTCCCCTCGCCCTCCCCTCCCTGCTCCTCCTCTTCATGAACTCGATTCCCCCCACCTCCGCCCAAACCTCATTGAACCTCAGGAACGCCCCCCCCCTACACCCCCGCCCCCACCGCTGGCTGCCCTGGAGCCGCTCGTTGCAGTGGCGGCAGCAGCAGCAGCAGCAGCTCAATAATGCAGGAGAATTGATTTTGTTTGGGTCAATGCGACGCCTCCTGACAGATCCAGCAGCCAGAGGCCTCGGCGCTGCTGCTGCTGCTGCTGCTGCTCCCTGTGTTTGTGGGAGATTACGGCGAGGGGATGAGGGGGGGGTGAGGGGATGAGGGGGAGGGGATGAGGGGAGGACGAGGGGATGAGGAGATGAGGGGGAGGATGAGGACGAGGGGGAGGACGAGGGGATGAGGGGGAGGATGAGGGGGAGGATGAGGGGGAGGATGAGGGGGAGGATGAGGGGGAGGATGAGGGGGAGGATGAGGGGGAGGATGAGGGGGAGGATGAGGGGGAGGATGAGGGGGAGGACGAGGGGATGAGGGGGAGGACGAGGGGATGAGGGGGGGGACGAGGGGATGAGGGGGGGGACGAGGGGATGAGGGGGAGGACGAGGAGGACGAGGGGGAGGACGAGGGGTTGATATTGAGGGTTGCTGTGCACTGACCACTACAGTGAAGTAAAATCAAACGAGCCCCATGAATGACACCGCGTTGGGGAGGCCTTCATCCAGCAGTGGATTGACGGGAACCTGCACACACGGTTCGAGTTAGGAGAGTGATTTTGGGTTTGGTCGGGATTTGGGTTACGGTTATAGTGTTTTAGGGTTATGATGAGCATGAGGGGTTGGGTTTAGTGGTTATGGTTGGGTTGAGGGACAGGGTTGGGATTCGGAACAGCCCACCTCTTCTCTAGCCCATCCCACACCCGTTTAGCCCCCTCTATCCAACACACACTTTCGTACAGGACAAAGATCCGCTGTTTAGTCTTAACAGACTTTTTGGCCCAAGCGCTGTTATCGAGCACCCGTGAAGGCCGGCACAAAACACGGAGGGGGTGGGTGGCCTGCATTACTCCCCGTCGTCTTTTGTCTCCCCCAGTGGCGATGTTTACACACCGCACCAGGTACTCATTTGAGGCCGAGTCGACGCACGCACTCGCGCGTTGGCGAGCGCGAGACAAAGACGCACTCTCACGGACGCACTCGCTCTCCCTCAGACGCGCACAGGCAGACGAACCACACAGGCCCAAACAGCTCTGGCGGCAAATGCAAAAACACTGACGCTCGTTCATAAATGTTTAATGTTGACGGAACTCACGTCCTCCAGCAGCGCGGGTTTCCCCTCGGCCATTTTTGTGCTCCGAGTTTCGCCCGTGGCTGCGTACACTACCGCCACCACCACCACCACGGCGTTCCCGCCGCGTTCGGCAGAGGGCACAAGTGGGATCGGAGTGTCGCAGCTTTTGTTCCAATTAAATCTTGTCCCATTTGCACGCTTGCTGACTCTGCAGATTGATTTTGTTGTCAACCCCCACCCCCCCCCATCTCACCGCCCCCAAATTGTACACCGATCGCTGCTATCGACGTCACCAGCCGTAGACTTTGTTCGGACATCTCCTGAGAGCAGTGGCGGCGAGAGGAGGGCTCACCACAGAAGCGGATGTCACAGAGCTACCTCTGAGATCCCTTTTTTTTCAAGTGACCTCCGGTCCACGCACGGTAGAGGGCAACACATCCCTGCTCACTGTGCCACATGATGAGAGCAATGCTCATCACATGACCGTAGAACCAACATTTTAATTCTCAGAACAGAACGCATTTCATGTAATGGGGTTTATTTTTTTTTTTTGTACAGACCATCAACTCATTAGACTGCGTGAGTCTATGGGTCCCTGCGCGGGTCTATGGGTCCAGACCGAGAAACATCGACTCGCTGGACCTGGGAGCCCAGTTTAACCACAAAGACAAAACGTCGGACGGCAATTTTTGCATCGAAAGTCGCCCTGCGGGAGGCGGTGTCTGATGCTGGGCAGCCGCCCCGGGGTTGGCAAGCACCCCGCCGTTCGTTCACCCGCACGCACACACACCTTGCTCTCCCACAACTGGGAGTCAAACCGATCTCGGGTGAGGTCGGAGCGATGAGGGTGGGACGATGGCGTGCGTCTGGGCGACCCGCCCTGCTGAGTCGAGGCGCGCGGTTTCTTCTTCCCCGCGGCCCCCCCTGCTCCTCCACGGCGGCTTCGGGGGGACGGTGGCGGGGGCAGTGGCGGCGGTGGGGTGGGTGGGTGGGGGGGGGGTGCCAGTGGCGGCGGGGTTTGCGTAGCGGCCAGAAGGCTTCCGTTTCGCCGAGATATCTCGCCGCGGTGGCGCTGCGGAAACGACATGTGTTTCCAATCGGCCAGAAAACCCGGATCGCTGTCAGCCGCCTCCTGGCTCACATTGGGAAGGAGCGGTGCCGGAGGATGGGGAGGAGCGGAGGAAGGGGTTGCGGGGGCGGTGGTCGTTGTGATGGGTGGGCCGGGGCGGGCGGGCGAGCGGGCGAGCGTGGCCGGGGGTGCCGCGTAGGGGTGATCGGGGTTTATATGGAGGGAGGATGGGATCGAGGGGGAGGGAGGTGGGAGGGTACGCCTGGGCGAGCGGGGAAGGGAGAGGAAGTGTGGTGGTAGAGGCGGCTCGCGGGGGGGGGGGGGGGGGGGGGGCGAGCGGTGGGGAAGGGCTGGGTGCTTTGGGGTAACGCGGTAACGATGGCGGGGGGGGGGGCCCCGGGCCGGCTGTGGGGGAGGGTGGCGACGCTGTTTTACGTTTCCTTGCACCTGCACGGCGCCTCTTGGAAGGCAGCAGCAGCAGCTGCCCGGTGGCTGCTGTCGCCACTGCTGCCCTCTGCAGTCGCATCTGTGAGGCTTTAGCACTCGCGGTTTTTCTTTGGAGTTTTACCGCCGCTCCGATATTTTTTTTTTCTCACGGAGAGCGAAACCAAGTTCGGAGCCTGTGCGGGTGGAGCGGGGGGGGGGGAATCCACGTCCTCAACAAGGGCCGGACGGGTCTCTCTCTCTCTCTCTCAAACCACACAGCACACGCAGCTCGGTGACCTCCATCTCTGCAAGTCGCCCCTTGCAGGAACGGAAGTGACCGAGCGTGGCGCTCGCGGTATCCAATGCCGCGTTGTCGGTTCTAAAATATTCCGCCCTCTGGTGCCCGATTTAGTGCCTCTACGATGCTTGCAGCAATGGATCAAACATTTTTGCGGGCTGTTTCGAGGAGGTAGGCCCCACGTGGCCGCGGGACCTGTGCAATGATTGAATGGGGGCTGTACGAAGTGAAGTGGTGGGTCGCGTCCAGCCCGTGGTCATAGGGCCCCCCCCCCAGCCCCGGTGTAGCGAGTGGCTGCAATGGTGGTGGAGCCATGTGCATGGCCCCCACACTCAACGATGAGGGCGTCGTTCGGCCTTGCCGTGTGCCCTCCGCACGCGTGACTTCTCTCTTGCCGCCCCGACCACAACCTTGCCGCCCTGCACACCTGACCGTCGCTCTCCTCCTGTGCCGGCAGGAGAAGGTGGTGGGCGGCCTGAACCTGAAGCCTTCCCCAGGGCCCGGTTTCCCTGGCAATCGGCTGGCGGCCACCCTGCCCGGCCTCAACGCCACGGAGCAGAAACGCGAGCTCATCCACCAGCAGTTAATGGTGAGAGAGCGTGTGACGGCGGCTCGGGGCATAACGCACGGTCAAGAGGTAAAACCTCGATACAAAACCCAGGTCCCGGAGAGAATCTCGGGTGCAGGGGGCAGCCCTACAGTTGCTTGTTCGCCCTATTCCCTGAAGAAAGGGAGCTCTAAAGGGTATTCGACCGACGTCTCTCAGAAGAGGTGGGGAGTTACCCAAACTTTACACCACCACTCGCGACCTGTCCATCGACCAACTACGGTTAACCAATTTGTGCTGCTGGGTCGACATAGGCGGGGAAGTGGAGATTTAAGAAACTTCCTCCACTATTTCAACTGTCGTGCCGAGAGATCGAATGTCATAAACGTTCCACCGCCGTGTGGCACCAACACCCAGAATCCAGACACAAATACTAATCTTCTTTGGTTCTTTCGGTAAAGACACGTAGAATGAGAATAAATCACCTGATGAAGGCCGCTTGTGTTGTGGCCGAAACGTCGTGAGAATATTATTGTGTTATTTTATTTTATCAATTTATTATTTTATTCTCATTCTACGTGACTTTACCGAAATAACCAAAGAAGATGAACCTTGCAGTCACGAAAGCTTTAAATCGAAACAAATACTAATGTCATATCGAAATCTTTTTTTTTACTTTAGGAAAATCAACAGCTGCACAGGCACCTGACGCGGCCACCCCCGGAATACAAGGACCAGCCCATGGCAGTGCCAGCCAACTCATACCCAGGTACCCTCCTCCCCGCCAATGGTGGCACGGCCCTCGGGAGCATACGCGCGCGCGTGTGTGTGTGCAGGCCTTCATAGGTGCTCGCTAACAGCACTTGCCTCTACAGTCTGTTAAGGCTATATGGGGGATCTTTGTATCTTTATGTGCGTGTGTGCGCTACGAACCCAGCGACCCGGGTTCGATTCCCGCTCATGGTCGACACCAGTGACGATTATCTGAACCTGTCCTGGGCCTCCCCTAGGTCGACTCGGCCTCAAGAAATGAGTACCCGGGGTGGTGTGTGTAAACATCGTCACTAGGGACACAAAGGCTGGACACCCTCCGCCTCGTGTGCCGTGTCGGCTTTCATAGGTGCTCGCTAACAGCACTTGCTCCAAAAGTCCGTTAAGGCTATACAGGGGGATCTTTGTTTGCGTGCCTGTGTGTGTACAAATGTGTGTTGCGTCACGGGGCCGTGAGGGATGTTGGCAGTGGCTTGGGGGGGGGAGGCTTTCATCCAGTAGTGCAGGTTCAAATTGACTTTGCTTCACCGAGTGAGAACTCGGAGAGAGACCAGGTTAGGGGGGAGTCTCATTTGTAAGAGGGGACCTGGGTGACCGAGATGTGACGAGAGCAAAACGAAGTAATGTTCCAGCAACGAAGTGAATAGAAATCGGGACGACAACTAACTGCGTCAAGTGAGAAATGAAAAGAATATCGCTCGAACATTAATCGGCGTCAAATGATTCCCTGTCGCGTAAGGCGGCTTGGGCAGATTGTCTTGTTTGACTGATGAGCGTAAAAATACTGCAGTTACATTAAAGAAACATTAAAGAGATCTGTGCTGACTTTTGTACTCGCATGTACACGGGCTGATGATAATCTACGTTCATTGTGCTTTTTTGTTTTTGTAGCCACAACCCAGCCCTTCTCAATGCCCATCGGTTCTCCAGTGACGCAAATGTCCCCGGTGCATTGTCCTGGTGCCAGCCAGCCGCCTCCGCCCGTCTACGCTCTTCCCAACGGCTCTCCACTCCATCACCACCACCAGCAGCAGCAGCAGCCAAGCATGATGGGAATAGTGCCGCCCCCATCGCCGGTGGTGGTGGCCACGCAGCAGGGTACCAACATGTCGGGCCACGGCGTGCGCGCGGTACGGAGTTCCGTCACGCCGGGCGCGCCCGTGCCTGTGCCCGTGCCCGTGCCCGTGCCGGTCCCCGGTCGGCTGGTGCACCCGGCTGAGCCTGCGGCCTTTCGGGGTCAGCGGGCAGCGGCCGGCCACAACGTGTGGGGGCAACAAAACCAGCAAGGGCAGCAGCATCCTCAGCAGATTCAACAGCAGCGCTTCCCGCTCCCCAACCAGGCCGTGAACTTTCCGATTCGGCCGCCGCCCGCACACCTTTCCACGGCACCGCAGGCCGGCCTCGGGCAACTCAATGCAGCCCCCGGCACCCCGGGGCAGGTGCCCAACTTTCCGCCACTTCATGGCGAGCAGGGCGGCGGCGGCGGTTTCTTCCGGGTCTCGGGGGGATGCAGCAACGTGGCGGTGGAGAGCATGGGGGGGGCGGCAGGCTCGGGCCTCGCCAGTCTCAATGGAGGTTCCGATTTTGTGGACTCCCTGCTGAAGGGCAGCGGCGGTGGCGGCGGGGGCAGCGGCAGTGGGGGCAGCAACGAGGACTGGCAGGACCTGGAGGAGATCCTCGGCCAAAACTAGCGGGGGACCCAGCATGCTGCCGAGAACACCGATCTTCCCGGCCGGGCTACACCCCGCGCACGAGGACGGGCCACCTTCCTCGCACCTCCTTGTCTGCGGTGCGACCGAGCGGCGTCCACCCAGCGTTGGGGACTGCCACGTTGGCCGCCTCTGTTGCGGGGTTCAGAATTTGCAGGAAAAGTGAAAGAGGGGGGTGGGTGGAAATCGACGACATTTTAGGTCGTCCTCCACGAACTCGCCGGTAAAATGTGAATGTTTCAGGTATCGCTCTTTCAACTGAGGAAGTGAGCGAGGATCTTTTGACCCTCGAAACCCAATCGTGGCCAAGCGAACACTCCGAGCCGCTGCCGTGGCTCTCGCAGAGTCCTCGTCTAACTTACAACAGATCCATCCTGCACGGGGCACTCGTGATCTTTCTCAAAGTATTCCGGCACCTGCATCTTTTTCTTTCTTTTACACGTTGGAATCAAAAACGTTTTTAATTCCACATTGTCGTCCCGCGTTGGCTTTGCCCATTCCACAGTGGTGTTGACGATGGCCCCCAATCCGCTGCGATCGGTTTTAGCTCCGTCACCGCCGCCGTTGAGAGGAGCCAGCAGCCGTGGCCGGCAACGTTAGTATTACCGCGTGCCTCCTCGGGTATTAACGCGTCCGTGTAAATAATATAGCAGGCTCGTGATTTTGTTTCTTCGGGGGAACATATTTATTATTTGTCGTGAATAAATGCAAAGCACAACGTCAAACACGACGATTATGCGCGGGGAGGGCCTCGTGGCCGCCCCCCGCGCTCGCTACGGCCGCTGCCGCCACCGTCACCATTTCATCCGTCACACTCCGCTGCCGGCATCGTGCCGTCGTGCGCGGGGGGGGGGGGGGGTAAATGCCTCCCGCACGTGACGGGGAGTGCATTTAGATTTTTTTTTTCTTTTTCCTCTGCGACGGCAAGAACATTGAGAGCGCTCCCGGCGCGGGCCACGGCAACCCCCGGCACTCGCCAAGAAACTCCACTCGGCACTCCACTCTCAGCCCGCACGTCCAGAAACCCTGAAGACGGATCGCAGCGAAAAGGCCACCCCTAAGGGAGCTTGCAGCGGATTCCACCTCGTAATCTCCCGCCCAGGTCTCACGGCACCCAGTTGTATTACCCCCCACCCCACCCCATGCCCGTCTCAGCCAATGGTCACTTGAACAGACCACTGCCGGCGATTTCACGTGCGTGCGTGCGCTACGCGGCGCGGTTTAAACAGCCGCTCCGGCCCGGCAGACGGAGAGCATCGTGGGGCGCTTGGCCGGTGCGCAGAGAGATCCACGAGGGAGTGGAGTTTACCGCGAAGGCTGGCGGCACTGCGGGAGATGCCGGCCGCTTGTAGCTAAGGGTGAAGGGGTGCTGGCGGGGGAACATTTCTTGGGGGGGAAGGGAGATGGGGGGGGGGGAAGGGGGTCCCGGCCCCCCTCTATGGCTCCTGTTGTCCGCCGCGGGGTCGCCAGCAATGCATCGCGCGTACGCTCTCCCGTTCGTTTTTGTACTAAACAGCGAAATGCTAAAGTGAACTGTTATTTTAACTCGGAACCTGTACAGTACTACGATTAGAAGTGTTTTTTATACCTTTAAATAGAGCATCTCTATCTTAACATTTACAATGTAACACTTTGTACACTTTAATATATAAATATATATTTTTCAAGTGCTCAATTTTGTATCATATTTAATAGGTATCAATGCTTCCCCCCCCCTGTGCCCCCCGTGTGTCCGCGTCGCGTCTCCTTGCCAGACATTCCCTGTTGTCGCTCGAACGCTATGGAAATGAATAAAATATTACATTTTACGTCGTGATGCCGATCTCTCTGATGGTTAACCATCCTCATCAGCCATCTTCAGTCCACTGCTGGTCAAGCCATCGCCACATCGCACGGATCCTGCAGTGTATGATACAGACAGACAAAAGATTCCCCGGAAATGCCCTTAACGGACTGTTGGGGCAAGTCCTGTTATAGAGCACTTATGAAAGCTGGCACGGCACACGAGGCAGTGGGTGGCCAACACCGCGCCCGGCCGCTTTTGTCTCCCTAGTGCTGATGTCTACACACCGCACCAGGTACTGGCTTAAGGCTGAGTCTACCCAGGGGAAGGCTCACCAGGACCGGTTTAAATATCCGCCACTGTTTTTGGTCGCGAGCAGAACTTTGGACACCGGGTCCATTCATTCATTTCATCCACTGCGCCACGGCTCCGCACGCGATGCAATAATCCTGCAACGTGGGAAGATTTCATCCCTCCATCTCCCTCCGCTGCCGCTCCGTTGTTATTCGTGACCGTCGGACGTGACGTGTCCAGCCCAAGCCCACTGTTAACATTTAGGATGATGCCTTTAACCTGCGTGCGTGCATTTGTCCCTCCGTGGGTTTGTTTTTCTGAACTCAAAAGTGCGCAAAGGAAGGTGGAGAGATGCATGCGTGGAATTGCATGGAGACGGAGAGGAATGCATGAACAGGAGGGGTAAAGGCGCAGCCCTGGAAGTACTTACTCACGCCACTGCTAGCTGAAGGGCTTCCACGATAGGGAGATCTGTAGAGGCCCTCCGTAGGATATTTGGCCTTCTCTTCCACGCTGGCCAGACACCTTGGATGAGCTGAAAGTGCCTCTATCCCACCACACGACTTGTTATACAAATGCTGCTGCTTTAGATGGAGCACTCTTGCCATGAACATCTGGTAAGCCGGCAGCATGTGTTGCTTAACAAGCCTGACTGCTGATGAGGCCCGGAAGATTGAAAACGGGTCCAGAGTTTGCTTGCTGCAGAATATTGGTCTGGAAAGTCAATCGACTTGTGGACTAAAGTATGTTAGTACGTGGAGAGACGTAGTCATGCTTGGAATTTTTTCTTTAAAAATCTGACTATAATGATTACACTTGTTTTAGCCAGGAAAACCTCACTGAGCCTCAAGACTCTTTCAGGAGGGTCCTGCCACGTGTTTACAGTAGGGGAGCAATGTTGCTGCTGATGTGTGTCATCCCAAATTAATCATCGTCAGGTACTGTACTGTATATATTTTTTTATAGCATTGGGATGCTTGACAAATTCCAGTTACATTTTTCATGGAAGGAAACCGAAGCACCTGGAGGAAACCCATGCAAAACAGGGGGGTGGGAGGGGGGGGGACATGCGGATAAGTACCCGGAGTCGAAAATCGAACCCAGGCTTTCTTGCCGCGAGGCACAGTGTCACCGCTGCACCACCACCACCACCACCCAACCGGGCCACACTCCGAACACCCAAACTGGAACGTCGGAGCGCGGCACTCCTCCTGGACTGCCCAATGCAGACGAGCATTCCTCCGTGATATCGCGTGCCGGGGAATGATGTCATTTCTTCCGGAGTGAGAGCCGAGCGGGAGGAGGAGGCATGCAGGGGTGCGGGGCTGCGGCGAGGAGAGAATGAAAGGGGGGGGGGGGGGGTTAGGGTGCCGCTGGGTTCGCAGAGCTCGGCGGGTGGTGGACAAGAATTGGTGCCCGTAAATATTTGCTCGACTCAACAGTGGTGCTGATGTGGAGAGCGCGTCCCTGCAATTTCTCGCCGACGTTCCTGCTAGGATGAGGGTCTCCAAGATGGGGAGGTCTATGGACCACCCCCCCCCCCCCCCCCCGAGAGGGTATTTGGCCTACTACTCCACGCTGGTCCGATAAGGGTGCCCGTGAAACAATAATTCACCACTGCTGGATGAGGTATCCCCACGCTGTACGGGTTTCGACGGATATTATTTGACATCAAATTACACTTAGGGGTGATTTGACCATGCTTCACGGTGGTTAGAGCGGGTTTGTGAAGGCGGGGAGCATAGTACAGCAGAACAAGGTATTATTTGGGTCTTTCGGTAAAGTCACGTAGATAGGTTCAAAGAAAATAACAACACAAACGGTGACGACTGCTTGCGTTGCGATCGAAACGTCGTCGTTTTTTTTGTTATTTTCTTTGAACCTATCGAGATGACTTTACCGAAAGACCCAAAGAAAGTTTTAAGTCAACAGAAGAACAAGGTGTTTTTCTGCACTCCTGTCTGCTGCCCACCGGAGCAACCGATGCCAACCTGTTTGTGCACGTGGTGGTCATCCAAGCACGTTCCAGGCTCAACGCTCCTCCGATTAGCACGGTTGGCTACGTACGGTGCGAAAGAAGTTAAACGTACATATAACCAGGACAACTCGAACAGTGCGGTTCACACGGCCCACCACGGCGCGATGCACCTCTACATGTTGACCAACTCGTTACGCGCTGCACGCGCCTGATATTGGCTAAACAATAGCCCCGCCCTCTCCCCTCCTCTCTCACGTCTCCCTTCACGCTGTCTCCTCCTCCGTGTCTCCTCCCTCCACCACAACTGTGCAAACAACAGCTGTCAAGTGCCCCAGGCTGCGTGGTCAAACAGCGCCCTCTGCTGTACAAACATCGGCCAGGACTCGCTCACCCAGCGAGTCCCATTGTCACCACGAGTCGTTCTCGTCGAGTATTTTGCCCACTCGCTGAATGTCAGCCAGAGGAGATACACATCATCCCACAATGCAATCTCCCAACACATTTTACAATGTGACTTTTAATATAAATGAGTTTAGGAATACTTTTAGATTCATGACATTGGGGGTGTTTGGTGCTCAACAGCTCACTTAATATGCCAATTTACGAAAGTGTTAATCAGAAAAGATGTTGTCATTCTCACCAAGCCCCACGGTGTAACCAAGTGCAAGTATCCAACTCTTCTCATCCACTGTGTTCGGTCCCTCTATATTATTGTTATTACAAATGGGCTGTGGAGAAGGGGCATTGCCCGAAACGTCGCCTATATTAAGGCCACGTTTTGCGAGCACGGGGAGGGCCAGGTCTCGCTACGATGACGTCAGACTTTCCAGCCCCCACACGCATTGGCGGCTCCCCATTGGCAGAGACGCTCCAGCGGGCGGGGGGGGGGGTCGCCCGCATGCTTGAGAACGGCGTCCTATTGGCGGAGCCTCACGGTAGGCGGAGCCGCCTGGCGAGAGGGCGGGGCCGTTTGAGTTGGGCGGGTGCAGTTGGGGATGGGGCGGGACCACATTTCTGCTGGGGCCGCGGCGCTATTGGGTGGAGCGGCCCGGCTGGGCGGGGCCGCGGCAGGCGAAGGCGGCGTCACTATTGGGCGAAGGCGGCTCGGGTGGGCGGGGACCGCGGCTATAAGTATTGGTGGAGGCCGTGAGCGCGCGAGCAGGAGGTGCTGGCTCGAGGTGCTGGTGGTGGCCTCTCTCTCACTTCTTCCTCTGTCTGCTCGTGGCTCCGGGGGACCCCCATGGCTGAGGACGCAGCGCCCCGGTGGCTGCCCCTGGAGGCGAACCCCGACGTGAGGACACCGCGCCCGGCGCCCTTACCCCACCATCCCTCCCTCTGTTCCCCCAACCGATTGTGTCTCCGCTTCACGTGGTCGAGGTTCGCGGACCCTGACGATGGCCAATGCGGCCGGGACCACGACCGAGGAGAGGGCCTCACATCCTTGCCGAGGCGGGACCCGCGCCTCGAGGTGCCCCGACCCTTAACTCCGACCCAGAAGGTCCCTGGACCTGGACTCGAACCCAGCGTCTTGTGTGATGCTCTTTAGCTGAACCTTCAACGCTGCGCTCGGCTCTTCGAGCGACGGTTCCCATGCGAGTGATGACGGTCAATACACCGGCGGTTATTTAATTAATTACTCTTTATTTCGTTTGATATTTTAAAGATTGATTTACATCCGCGCGCTTGTTCGCCCACGAGGGAGAGCGGCGGCTGGGTGGTGAGGGGGGTGATCGTGCGAGCAGGCGCGGCACCAGACAGACGAGACGGACGCCTCCTTCCCCTGGGGGGGGGCCGCGATGTCGCCATCGCGGCCCCCCCCCCCACGAGTGCTCACCTCGGGGGTTTGACGTGGGCGGCGGCGGCGGCGTCGTCTGTATGGCGAGGGCGCCATGTAGCAGCGACGCGCTTGAGGAGGGGAACCCCCGGGGGGCTTCGCGACTCGCGGTGCCCTGCCAGAGTGAGGGTGCACGCCTCCCGGGAGAGAGAGAGACGTTGGGAAGACGACGCGCCGAGGCTGCGGTGGAAACTTCCCGCTGCTCTAAATAGCGCCGTGACCCAGTGGGTTCTCATCGGCACATCACGACCCCCCCTCCGCCCGTCCGCCTCTTCTTCTCACCGTAGTTCCCTTGCTCCCCCTTTTATCCATCCCCTGACCCAACCCCAAATGACTTCAGTACTTAGCTCAATACCCTGTGCACTAACTTCACGCGGCCTAAATATCCCAAGCCTTACGATATCCACCCTAACCCGATCGGCTAACATGCCCTAAACCCTGCCCACATACCTAACCGTATAAACCCTTATCCCCTGATACTACACTTATATCTTAACCCTAACTCTTTAACGCAATAATTTCACCTGAATCCACAACTCTATCGCTCTCTCTATATCCATATACACCTTGCCCCCCCTGTCTCCATCCCCAACTCCCTGACCCCAACTACAGCCCTCTTCTGTGTCGGACGAAGCTAGTGCGGGGCCTGTAGCAAATGTTATAAAAGGGCCCTAAATAAAAACACATAAATATTAAAACACTAATTTTTTACTTGCACAGTAAAGTAATTGTATTTTTTCCATTTGCAAATCGCTAACCTTAAACACCCAGTCGTTCATAAAAGTTTAAGGCAGTATAGTACTATAGTGATAGAGCAAGTGCGGAATCACTGAACCGGCATTGATAGCTTGAAATCCTTTAGCGCGGGGCCCTTGAAAGTGCGGGGCCCGTAGCATGTGTAGCTACTTTTTCCACGAGG